TTGAATTAGATTCAAAGCTTTGCAGGAGATTTCAAAAACCAGCTAGGTTCGTAAGGCTGATTCGACGATTGTGACACAAGATTCTATCTAGAGTCGAAGGTCAAACTGCGACTAAACTTGGATTCAAAGTTATGGACAACAATTGTACCCCATTTAAAATCTAGATTCATAACATTGAACCTTAATTTGATCCATAAATGCAAGAATGAAGATCTTTAGCAAGGAGTTAGTTCACAAATTGAGGGTTTCAATTCGTCAAGAAATCAAATCACAAGCACAAATCGATTGAAGGTTCTCCGACATAATTTTTTTCAACTCAGCAAAGTTGACAAACTAGGCCAGAACAGAAGTTGGTTTACCAGAATACAGATCAATCTAGAACTTGGATGTGAACCCAGTTACTATTAACCAAAAACCAATAGGAATCCTTCTTCATCCAGTTGAAATCGATGATCAATGGGCAAGAATCGGGTCAGATTCTCAAGCTTTGATACCAAATGATGATAAGCCTAATCAAGAATGAGAGAGAATTTAGAGAGAGAATTTAGAGAGAGAAATAAGAGAGAGAAATATCTCAATCAAACAATGTTCAATATCTAAAAATTAGTTACAAAGTAGTTATGACTCCTCTAGATATAGGCTACATTTTCCCACCACTAACTATCACATGCCAAGCATAGGATATCCTACATCAGAGTTGCAGTGGCAAAGGAGACTGTATGGTACAAGTTTCAAATGCCAGAGTGAGATGACATTTATGTTACTTTATTTGAGATTCCATTCATAGAAGGTTGGATTGAAACCACTTCCTTCATGGGAAGCAATATTTCATTCTCATGTACTTCATCCTCATGTACACTTTTACGCTCTACAAGGTCGTCTTCATCATCATAGTTGTTAAAAATTGCAACTCCTTCATACTCACTAGTATCAACTTCTTCATATTTACAAACGTCAACTTCCTCATAAGCCAATGCCTCGCTATCGCCATCAAAGATGGCAAAATCTTGATCATGGTCTGGTTCCTCGTCTTGATCAAAGATAGGAAAAAAAATCCTGAGTAGGCGCAATAAACTACCGAAGGCAGCCTCGTTGTCAAACCATTTGGTTCATCAATATCGGCGACTTGTTCTCCGGCGTGGTGAGGTTCTCTCTCTCGTTCTCTCTTGTTCTCTCGTTTCTCTCTCTCTCTCTCTCTCTCTCTAATAGGGTCGGATTCGGACTGTGGCCAGGTCAACCCCGATTCTTGATGAACCCACTTGTTAATTTTTGTTCTTGAAAGGGACAGAGTAGGATTAGTCATATATGTATACTTGCATACGTCTGTTTTATGTAGTGGTTGAACATGTTTCATTGAATTGATGAGTTTTGTACTTGTTTTGTTGATAGATGTTAAACACTTGTAATTGGGGAATGTGGAAGAATTATAATAGGGGAATGGGAGCTTCTATTTACACATCCACCTTCCCCTCTTTGCACACACTTCATAAAAATTATTTTTATTATAAATTTTTTTCAAGTGAAATTACTATTATAGACATCAAATAAATACATTCGGAAGTTGAATGTCGAAAAAATAATAAAAATTCGGAAGTCTACTTCTGAACCAATTGTTTATTTTCGGAAAGCAACTTCCGAACCAATTACTTATTTTCGGAAATCTACTTCTAGAGTTGAAAGAAAGAAAAAAAAAGAGAGAAATTTAACAAAAAATCAGTTTCTATTTCTTTCACTTTTCCCTTCATGTTCCCTTTCTCATAAGTCCCTCCTCAAATCCTTAATCTAAATTTTATAAGCAAAAAATTGAGTTTAAATGAGACAATTTCAAACTGGTCATTAACAATTCATTTTATTTTTTATTTTTTTTTGCAGCCCTACTCTCACCCTCAACCACATATCTTAAAATTTCTCATTTTTGTCCCATTTTCTAGTGTCATCCACAAAATTAAATAGAAAATGAAAAAGAAAAAGAAAGAAGGTAAATTACACCGACCCTCCTAAGATTTCAACAAAATAGAAATAATCTTATAATTTTAGCATAATTATACCGACCTCCTTTTTAGTAAGATTAAAGTAATCAAAATTAATGTAAATAGTGTAAAGACACACGGATAAATAATGAAATGTATATATATATTCAATGTAAAAGAAAAGACAATATCATACTTTTATCCGTATAACTAATGAATTATTGATGAAAAGGAAAATAATTATTATGTGAATCAAATTTTAAGGTAGTAATCATGTTAAAGTTGTGGGACTTACTATATATTTTTCAAATCTCAGTGTAATTTACTCAAAAATAAATAAATAAATAATTAGAGAAAAGAACAAGGCTGAGAAGAGTACAGCAATGGCAAGACCAGTCTGCACAGAGATAAACAGAACCCCAACAAATGAACACAAACATGCAAAGAAATCAAGCTTGTCAATCTTCCACAACCGAATAGCTGCATCGTAGTCGATCAAGCCAATCACAGAGGTTATGATAATTGCTGCTAAGATCACATTTGGAGTGTAATAAAACAGTGGCATGAGAAACAGCAGAGTCACTAGCACTGCTGCTGCCATCACTATGTTTGAAAATGCTGTCTTTGCTCCGGCATTGTAGTTCACAGCGGATCGCGAGAATGATCCTGCAAATTCATTGGATTACAAAATATTATAAATGAATTTAATCATCAATAGTTTTGCTACAGACACGGAAACAAATCACAGAAAATTCTAAATTGGATTACAAAGTATTATAAATGAATTTAATCGTCGATAGTTTTGCTACAGGCAAGGAAAAAAATCACAGAAAAGTCACAGAATAGACGCAAGATTAGTGGGTTACCTGTGGTGACATAGCATGAGCAGCAAGAACCAGCCATGTTCATGAGACCAATTGCTGTCATTTCTTTGTTTCCATCAACTTGATAGTTTTGAAGAGAAGCAAATGTTCTTCCTGCTGCAATTCCTTCCTAAGAAATAAAAAAAGTGTCATCTTGCAATTTAAAATTCCAATTTCAACTATAGGAACACAATCCTTTTCCAAGTTTAACAAGTATAGGAACACAAAAATCAATGGCAGAACTAGATACAGAATGTATATGGATTGATAAGATTTTTCATAAATGATTCTCAATAACAAATTATATAAAATTTTAAAGGGTTAATTAAAACTAAAAAAAAAAAAAATCAGAGTTTTACAAAAAAATAAGAACACAACAGAACATGTTGATCCCTTATCCCCTTATCTAAGGCTCTGCAAATGGGTCAAAGTGAATCTAATTTTGGGGTGTTTAAGCTTGGCACACTTAAAATTAATTGAGTCTGAGTTCGAACCAAGCTTAAATAATCCAACTCAATTTCAGTGTCAAAATTTAAGAACTAAGGTTTTACTCAATTTACGTCGATTACATAAATAAGTAGAGATCGAGCTCAAGCTTGAGAAAAAAAATCTAAATTATCCTGCATATATTAAGAGGAAAAAAGAATATTATAAGAAAAATATCATATTATTAATGAATTTCATCAATAAATTATTTTATTTTTCACAAATACAAAAAATAAATAGAGAAATAAAAGAAATTAATAAAAATATATTACCTAAAATAAATTATTACTTTATATATAATTGTATTCATGAACCTATCTCAGTCAAGCTTAGGTCTACTAGACCTCAACTAAATTATTAAATGAGTCTAAAAATTTAGTTTGAGCCCCTTCATTTAGACGATATTGAAATGTAGAATTTGAGGAGAGATTTATAGAATTGAAAGAAAGAAAAAAAAAGAGAGAAATTTAACAAAAAATCAGTTTCTATTTCTTTCACTTTTCCCTTCATGTTCCCTTTCTCATAAGTCCCTCCTCAAATCCTTAATCTAAATTTTATAAGCAAAAAATTGAGTTTAAATGAGACAATTTCAAACTGGTCATTAACAATTCATTTTATTTTTTATTTTTTTTTGCAGCCCTACTCTCACCCTCAACCACATATCTTAAAATTTCTCATTTTTGTCCCATTTTCTAGTGTCATCCACAAAATTAAATAGAAAATGAAAAAGAAAAAGAAAGAAGGTAAATTACACCGACCCTCCTAAGATTTCAACAAAATAGAAATAATCTTATAATTTTAGCATAATTATACCGACCTCCTTTTTAGTAAGATTAAAGTAATCAAAATTAATGTAAATAGTGTAAAGACACACGGATAAATAATGAAATGTATATATATATTCAATGTAAAAGAAAAGACAATATCATACTTTTATCCGTATAACTAATGAATTATTGATGAAAAGGAAAATAATTATTATGTGAATCAAATTTTAAGGTAGTAATCATGTTAAAGTTGTGGGACTTACTATATATTTTTCAAATCTCAGTGTAATTTACTCAAAAATAAATAAATAAATAATTAGAGAAAAGAACAAGGCTGAGAAGAGTACAGCAATGGCAAGACCAGTCTGCACAGAGATAAACAGAACCCCAACAAATGAACACAAACATGCAAAGAAATCAAGCTTGTCAATCTTCCACAACCGAATAGCTGCATCGTAGTCGATCAAGCCAATCACAGAGGTTATGATAATTGCTGCTAAGATCACATTTGGAGTGTAATAAAACAGTGGCATGAGAAACAGCAGAGTCACTAGCACTGCTGCTGCCATCACTATGTTTGAAAATGCTGTCTTTGCTCCGGCATTGTAGTTCACAGCGGATCGCGAGAATGATCCTGCAAATTCATTGGATTACAAAATATTATAAATGAATTTAATCATCGATAGTTTTGCTACAGACACGGAAACAAATCACAGAAAATTCTAAATTGGATTACAAAGTATTATAAATGAATTTAATCGTCGATAGTTTTGCTACAGACACGGAAAAAAATCACAGAAAAGTCACAGAATAGACGCAAGATTAGTGGGTTACCTGTGGTGACATAGCATGAGCAGCAAGAACCAGCCATGTTCATGAGACCAATTGCTGTCATTTCTTTGTTTCCATCAACTTGATAGTTTTGAAGAGAAGCAAATGTTCTTCCTGCTGCAATTCCTTCCTAAGAAATAAAAAAAGTGTCATCTTGCAATTTAAAATTCCAATTTCAACTATAGGAACACAATCCTTTTCCAAGTTTAACAAGTATAGGAACACAAAAATCAATGGCAGAACTAGATACAGAATGTATATGGATTGATAAGATTTTTCATAAATGATTCTCAATAACAAATTATATAAAATTTTAAAGGATTAATTAGACTTTGTATCCCTACACATTACACCGGATCTCATTTTAGTTCCCTCACTTTTTAATTGTAACAATCAACCTCTTACACTTTCGGTCAAGTTTCAATGTCATCTTTCCCTTAGTATGTTGTTAAACCCATTAATGAAATTTTGGTTAAATTATACTTTACACCCTAACACTTTAAATCAGATTTCAATTTGATCTCTGTTTTTCAATTCGAACAATCAATCCATTGCACTTTGGGTCAAGTTGCAATGTGGTCCTTTGGTTAGTTTGGTTTTAAATTATCTAACAAAAATTGTCATGTAAGCCTCACATAAGGTAATTTACAGGGGGAAAAAAATTAAATTTTCTTCTATTGTCATATTTTTCTTATTATCTATTTTTTCACTCTGTTTTATTTTCTAAACCCGACACCACTGACTATCCCTTCCTTGCTACTCTCCATCATTTTCTCAAAGCCCTCATTCATTTTCCACCACCTCCACGCCTTTCTCACCTGTTCTTTACCACCCATCACCACCCCTACTGTCTGCCCGCCAACCGCACTCCTTCTCACCGCCTAACGCCACCCTAACCTTTCAGCCCAACTATTGTGTTTCCTCTGACCTTTTCTCTCTCAATCGGGAGCTTCTATTTACACATCCACTTTCCCCTCTTTGCACACACTTCATAAAAATTATTTTTATTATAAATTTTTTTTCAAGTGAAATTACTATTATAGACATTAAATAAACACATTCGGAAGTTGATTGTCGAAAAAATAATAAAAATTCGGAAGTCTACTTCCGAACCAATTGTTTATTTTCGGAAATCTACTTCCGAACCAATTATTTATTAAAAAAGATGTGTAAAGAGGGGAATGGGTGTGTGTAAATAGAAGCTCCCCTCTCAATCAACCTCCAATCTCATAAATAAGGATAAATTACAAATACACACCCTAAGATTTGATTAATATACAAATCGACCTATGTGGTTTTGGAAAATGTAGAAATGGTGGCATTGAGTGGTGGGAAGGGATAAAATTGGCCATGGGTGATGGAAAGGAAGTGAGGTAATGTGTCGGGTGGGAATAGGTAGAGAGATTGATAGTGTGACACCAAGTGGTGGAAAAGGTGGGCAAAAGGTAGAGGTAGTAATGGGTGGTAAGGATTCTATAGGGAAATGATGAAAGTGGCAGTAAAGGGGTAAGTAGTTGCCACAAGCAATGGGAAATACAAGGAATGAGTGGTCGGTGGTGACGGATTTAGAAAATATAGTAGAGAAAATATTGTGAAAAAATAAAGTACAAAAGATAATAAATTTACATTTTTGCACCTTAATCAAAAGTGTTAGGAATTGATTGTTATAATTAAAAAATAAAAAAATAATAATAAAAAAAAGGTCAAAATGAGATTCAATGTATAGTGTAAAGGTACAAAGTGCAATTTATCCTAATTTTGGGTAGCGAATTTAACACCATGCTAACAAAAAGATCACATTGTAATTTGACCGAAAGCACAAGGGATTGATTGTTACAATTAAAAAATGATGAACTAAAATGAAATTTGGCGTAACGTTCAAGGGCACTGTTAGGTTTTCGTAATTGGCAATCCCGTTTGACAAAACTCCTTTCAGTTGTAATTTTATTCACTTTGATGTTTCAGTAAGGATGTAGGTACTTAGATGCAAACCCAACAAGAATTGTGCCTATGCAGAGGAGTTTGTGATCTTGATCCTTTCATGTTTGCCACTTCGTTGACTTTGTATGGGGATTGAGCTGCCCAATCAGCTCGCGGGGGTCCAAGGGACAACGCCCCATGGTGGGTTCAAAGCAAAAGGGAAAAATGCAGTCAAAGTTGTTTGGCCGTTCGAGCAGTCATTTGTGCGCTCGAGCAGAGAAACGAATCATCCATCTGAACTTCTGGAAAACAAGTTTTACCGCTTGAGCGGTGAATGTTGCGCTCGAGCGGCGAGCCTATATGTTTTACACTGCCTTTATTCACATCGCTCGAGCAAAAAAATGTGTGGTCGAGGGGTATTCACGATTCAATTTACTGTAAAGTGCATTGCTTGCTCATTTTAATGTTTGAACCATCTAGATTTTCAAAGAGGAAGAAAAAACAAAGTGTTTTATATTAGAGGGTACTTTATGAGTGTTTCCCTAATGATTTAAGAGTGATCAATGGATCCATGAACTTTATATCAATATCATCAAGGGGTTTGTTTATTTTCATTTATTCACAAAAGAGATAATTGCTCTTCGGTGGATTTCGAGGAACTTGGGCCTGAAGCTTTGGTGGATTTCGAAGTGGCTCATCGTCGTGGATTCCACATCAGCATTGTGGATTCAATATTAGGCAAGACAATTCTGAGGTGAAGAAAGTGATGGAAGAGGCACATCAAGGTCGGTTCAATTCGGTCGTAGATTCGCTACGTAATTGAGGGTACACATATGTAATTCCTTTTTGTCTTCTTAGTGGATTGTTTTGTGACTTCGGCCTGTTGTTTTTTTATCACAATTGAAGACACTCCAATTGTGATTTTTTTCATGTTAAGTCGTTATGTCGATTTGTTATTGATTGTTTGATTGTGATTGGTATTCACTATTTAAAATTAAAATATAATCATGAACCAATATCTCGGGAATTTTAGATTTTTCATTGCTAAACTTACATTTAAAATGGAGGATGAGCCTTGCAGATGTATATCTGGGAATTAAGATTTCCAGACCATCTGATGGTGTTATACTTTCTATCACGTTCCTGAAATAATTACACAATGCAACTCCAAACAACTACTACAAGTGATATAGGTGGAATAAGAAGATTTCATTAATTGGAATTGATATACAAAAGGTGACACATGCAGTGTACATTCATAAACCATTCATCCTGAATCTACAACATGTGTTACAAGTGGTAATAAAGAATGAAAGCTAAACAGATATTTATATGCCCTAAAGGCTTACATCTTTCCAAGACTTTGCTTGGTTACAACAAAATGAGTCAGAAGCTCAATATACGTAAAGCTCTGGGCTTGAAAAGAAAGTAAATACAAAATGAACAAAAGTGAGCTTCAGCTCCACAGTTCTCCTAGGCTAAGTCCTTGGCAGAGGCATATCACCAGTACCTGAAAATGGTTTTTCCCAAGTAGGGTGAGACCCCAACGCGTACATTATTTTTATATATTTATTTGTGTGAGTTTAATTGCTTAATTATATGCTTAAGTGTGAATATATGTTTGCTTATGGAATACCTGTTAGAATTACCGACTTAGGGACAGAATTGAGAGCCTTAACGGCTGCAAAAACCAAAATTGACTAGCCCAATAGGCTAATTAGAATATTTAGAATTTTATGGAAACTTTAATTGAAAATTGATTCAGATCAAAATAATTAGAATAAATTAATTAGAATTTATTAGAATTAATTAGAGTTGAGTATAATTACTTAACCTTCATCAATCTTGATTAGTCTAACCTAATCCACTCATATATAAGCCCTTAAACAAGCTTATGAATTCATTTTTCTACAGCAAATGAGCTGAGATTTTAGACAGAAAGAGAGGGAAAACTCAACAATATAGAGAGAGAAGGAAGATTTGTAAAGGAGTTGTAGAGGACTTGAAGAATTAAGCAAGACAATACTTGAATTCAACTCTAGGTATGGAAATCACACTCAACTCTTGTAAATAATACATATAGGAGATGAATTCACCAAGCTTTGAGACCATTTGCATGAATTTAGAAAGAATATGTGTAGACCGCCTGAACTCGCTCCGCGCGCCCCCCTTTCGGAGAGGGCACGAATTGGGTTCTAGCTACTACAGTTCGAACTCCTGTCACGGTTCTGAATCTAATCTCACATAGTGCAATGTAAAACTGATAAATCACCAAAGAGTCCAAATCCAGCAAATCGTTTTGGAAAATCAATTTTAATCAAAAAGCGCCAAACATGGACTGCTTTGCCAAATTTCAGAGTTGCCACCTAAATATTTTATTTTGGGAAATTTAGGAAACCCTGACTCATGCCTAAGGCCATGTGTCCGTCGTCACCAAAGTTGCCTCAGCTCAGGAACTTAGGTACGAGGGGGGAAGGTCATGAAATAAGCACCCCCGCTCGCCCGATCAAATGATCGACCTCTACTAACATGATATGTTGTTTTTATAAACACATGTTCTTATTTCGGTTATTAACCTAGAATTACTATGTGATGCGCACAGCACACAAGTGTAGACTCAATCGCAAGGATTGGAACAAAACATCTCATGTTTGTTTTCGAAAATGGTTTGAAAGTGCTACTCGCAAGTAGGCTAAAGCGCGGATTTGCCACCCTCAAGTGGGCTTAAAACAACATGATTTTGCCACCTCAAGTGGGCTTAAAACTCACATTTGATGAATTGTTCCAATTCAAGTAATAAAGCCTTCATCCACAGGCATTCATGCAGTTAAACACTTAAGCAGTTAGTCTCATGGCAAGCATTCTATCATGGCAGTCACTTACACACATGCACGGATGCTAAAGCATAAACACTCACAGTGTACTCCGAGCCAAAACAAAAGCTAGTTAGTAATCATGAATGATCCTAGCTATGTCAACAATGCCTAATGCAACACATGCAAAATGCAACTAAGTAGGCTCGGCTATCTACGTTGGCATATGAATGCAACAATTAATACATGTATTCAAATAAGTATTGAAATGCGATGCAGTTTGAATGACGCGCCGAGCCCAGTGCATGCAAGACAGATGAATGATACACACATGCAAGCATAAGGATGATAATTGAAATATGTCCTAAAACTAACCATCAAAAGTTGATAAGTAAAAGGGAGAAAGAAATGAGGTTGGAAGATATGCACACACTCACGCACACTTATTACAACATTGTGCCCTCTCGACGGAGGGTCCGAATGAAACGAAAGCTAACTAGCTACGCTAATTAAGCTAACTAATTAACCAATTTAGCTAATTAATTACTA